ACACTCCACTGCCCAAATACAAAATAAATAAAATCACTGTTTAATAGATATACCCCAAATAAAAACGTGCAAGAATTTAATTATGTATTTTTTAATTGGGAATATATTTAAAACCTGCAGTTCTCATGTCTGCTGCCTTTGCAAGCTCTCCCCTTCACACTCCGCCCAGACTTTCTGTGGCTGTCCAATCACAGACATCCCAATACAGCTCAAAGAGACATTTTTGTAAGTCAAATACTCTGGGCAATAGCTGCCAACATTACCTGTTGTCTGCTTGAAAGCCAAAGGGGTTTAACCAGGTTAATTTATAAAAGTGTCAATTTCTACTGAAATCTGCACTTTTTCCAAAATGAGAAAAAATGGTACACACTCTTCACACACAAAGCTTTTCAGCAAGCTAATGTTGCTTAGGGGTCTGGAATGGCCCTTTAAGTTCTGCGTGTTTGGTGTTAGACTATCCTGACAGCTGTAGTAGTTAATAGTGCATATAGTGTCAATGGAGGAGTGTTTTTTTTAGATCTTGTTATTATTTGCCTTGTGTAACTTTTATGTATGCTGTTTTCTGTTCCTTTTACCGCTGCAAATGAATACGTTGGAGAGGAGCTAATCAGCTTCTTAATTAACCTCACTACTTGGACTCTTGCTGCGAATGATTAGTTACTCCCTCATGATGTTTTGGAAGTATGACCCATTTTAATTTTGAAACATTTTCGAAATAATGTCATTCATTTTTTTTTTTACCAAAATAAAAAAAAAACTGAAACTCTTAAAGTGGTATAGTGTAAGGGCACTGGGTTTTGGCACGTATTGAAAGTCATGCGTGGATTTGTTTTCACACGTGATAGTCTAACACATTGCTACTAAAAGTGACACTATCACTTGCCAGTCATAGTGTATACTTGGTATAGAGGACCATGAAAGTCATAACAGGTTGATAGGCCCAGCACAAAGTAAGGTGGATATATAATATAATGTTAGTAATTCACAAACAGAGGAATCCGTGATACCGCACTCACACTTAGGAATCCAGGTGCTTATCAGGGCCAGTCTGGCAAAACCCAGTTTAGTAGATAAAATAAATTGGGTCCAGGCACTCAGGATTGCTGCAGGAGGGCAGGTTACTTTTTGTGGGCAATTTTTGTTCAAATAAACCTGCCTTCCTGCAGGAATCCAGAGTGCTTGGACCTTATCTATTTTAATTTTAATATATATTTTAATATAATGTTGGCATTGTATGTGGTGTGTGCATTTTGCAGGCCCTGTATGTGTGACAGTTGTAAAGGCAGTTCAGCAAGTTTTAATAATAATTTGTTTCTGTAATATGGTTGGAGTGTAGGTGTTTTATCTAGAATCAATGTCTTCTTGTAGGTGGTAGTAGGTGATATCTGTGGCATGCAGGTTACTATCCGGGATATGCACAGAACGTTGCTGCATACAGTATGTGATATGGCATTAGTGAGTTTGCTGTAATTGATATTGCTGTCATGAGGGTGCTTTAGGGTGGGATATGACTGTTGTGTGTGATGTGAGCAGGGCTGTACTGGGAAAAAAATTTGGCCCGGGCATTTTTCAATCACAGCAGCCCCTTGAAAAGGGGGCGGGGCCAGAGAGGGTGTGTTTTGTTATCACTAATGACAAGCACGTTCCCTCTCTAGGTGTGCATTTTGGTTCAATGCGCAGAGCCCTGATGAAGAGCTCTAGCATGAGAAAAAGGCCCTGTATTTGTTCTGCGCTGCGCAATCAAATTTAATAACATGCTTGCGCTGTGTTTGATTGTAACTTGTCTGTGGTATCTCCATAAGTGAGATGCCAGAGGACAAAAGGGCCAGGAAATCGTATGGTGCATGTATTTGGAGCCTGCTTGTGGGATTGCGTGTGTGTATAGTGAGCTGATTGTGGTGTGGTATTGTGTAAATAGGTCAATTTCATTTGTGTTTGTGGTGTAATATGTGTGGCTAGAGGCTGTAGAGAGTGTGTGTATAGGGAGAAATGTGTGTATAAGGGATGTAGCAAGTGTGTGCATACGGGGTGTAGTGTGTGTGTGTATAAGTGATGTAGTGTCTGTAGGGGTTGTAGAAAGTGTGTGTTTAGAGAATGTTGTATGTGTTGGCCAACAAGGAATGTAATGTGTGCATAGAGGATCCAAAGTTTCTATGTCAGGAATGTAGTGTGTGTAGGTGGTGCAGTGTGTGTGTGTGTGTGTAGGGGATCTAGTGTGTGAAGGACCCAGTGTGTGTGTGTGTGTGTGTGTGAGGATGCTGTGAGTGTGCTGTGTGTGTGAGTTCTGTGAGTGTAAAGGCTGTGCGTGTGAGGGTGCTGTGAATGTCCTGTGTGTGTGTGAGGGTGCTGTGAGTGTGAGGGTGCTATGTGTGTGTGTGAGGGTGTTGTGAGTGTGTCTGAGGTTGCTGTGTGTGAGGGTGCTGCGAGTGTAAGGGTGAAGTGGGTGTGTGTGTGAGGGTGCTGTGTATGTGAGGGTGCTGTGTATGTGAGGATGCTGTTTGTGTGTGAGTTCTGTGAGTGTAAAGGGGGCTGTGTGTGTGAGTGTGAGGTGTGTATGAGTGTGCTGTGAGTGTGTGGGTGCTGTGTGGGTGAGGGTGCTGTGAGGGTGCTGTGTGTGTGAGGGTGCTGTGTGTGTGAGGGTGCTGTGTGTGAGGATGCTGTGTGTGTGAGTGCTGTAAGTGTGTGTGAGGGTGCTGTGAGTGTGAGGATGCTGTGTGTGAATATGTTTGGAGGGATTGTGTGTGTGTGGGAGGAATACAGATTAATTTAAATATATTAAATTTGTATTTTATAAATAAATATGTATTAATAAAAACAAACTTTATATCCCACCTCCCTTCTTACCTTTTGACTGGGAGGGGGGCTGTGCTGCCATCCCTGGTGGTCCTAGTGGTGAGTGACCTCTAGCCTGCGGTGCTAGAGTTCACTTTCGAAAGAGCTAAGCGTTGCCGTGGTAACAGCGGCAACGCTCCGACCTCGCAAGAGGAACCTAGCGGAGCTACTGGCTAGAACTCCCCCGGATCCTCCTCTCCCTCCCATGCCCTCGGCTGCATGTCAGTGCCTGTGGGCCGGTGAAGGGGAACTTTAATCTCTGCACCAGCCCACGCGGGCACACAGCAGGGCCAGTGCTCGGATTGCGCCGGCTCTGCATAGGCTGACAGGGGAGATCCTGTGATCTCCCCTGCCGGCCTCGGCCAGTGGCCATTGCGGCCCACTGGGCATTTGCCCAGTATACCCGATGGCCAGTCCGGGCCTGGATGTGAGTGTCAGACGAGAGCTATACATGATATGGGTACTCCTATATAACTATGGGACCATGGCAAATGCTACCTGGCTCTGAAAATATAAGACTGCATTTGAGATAGATAGATAGATAGATAGATAGATAGATAGATAGATAGATAGATAGATAGATAGATAGATAGATAGATAGATAGATAGATAGATAGATAGATAGATAGATAGATAGATAGATTGACAGATAGATAAGATAGATAGATAGATAGATAGATAGATAGATAGATAGATAGACTGACTAATGGACAGATAGATAGATAGATAGATAGATAGATAGATAGATAGATAGATAGATAGATAGATAGATAGACAGATAGATAGACTAATGGACAGACAGACAGACAGATAGACAGACAGACAGACAGATAGACAGATAGATAGATAGATAGATAGACTGACTGACTAATGGATAGACAGATCAATTGCTCAATAGACAGACAGCAGACACACTGACTTTACAGAACATTAAGATACAGAGAAGAAGTAGGGCAAAAGAAGTAGCTGCTGCAGGAACACTTGAGAAAGACAGGTAAACAGCCCCGGGTCAATAAACAGGTTTAACCGGTGAGTGTAGCTGAGGAACGAAGAGAGGGCGAGGCAAAGCATTACCAGTGTGCTTGCATGACATGCATGTGCATGTGTACATGTTAGCGAGAGACAGCAAGCACTGCACATCTGGATTCGAGGCACAAGTGTTTGACGTCAGGAGCACGAATGCTTTAGGCATGAAAACAATTACTGTTTAGAAAAAAAAACAAAGAAAAACTCATAGATCAGCAATTAGTAACACTGCATACTGATAATCCACCAGTATATATCAGTAGCTTTACTATTGCCGATAGACCATCAGCACAGTACAGAAGTGGTTAAATTTTGGCACTGCAGCTGATATGAATGATTCCCATGAGGCTCAGCCAGCTGCGTGGTTGTTTATACACAAGGTATGGCATATGTATCATGAGATATATATAAGGAAGATGCAATCTTGTGGGGTGGGGAAGGAAGTAAATGAAGATTAGTAACAGTAAAAGGAAGATAAAATCATAGAAATGCATGGAAATTAAGTATGAATAGGCAGTCTTTGAAATTTCAAGTATACAAAAACTACATATACTTTCCTCAGTCAGAAACTGGCAGGTTGATAATGATAAAATATATAGACAGTGCATCTGAAGAGTTGTAGGTTGTGTACAAAACATTTAAAAAAGGACCAATGTGGAACATGGAATAACATACAATTACTAATATAAATGGACCTGTCTTTGCTACACTTGTTCCATCCTTGTATGGCACAGTCGAGGCTTTTTATTTATATAAACCTTGTCTCACTAATTCTGGACAAGCGAAAGGCTTTCTTGAATAAAACTTCTCTGTTGCTGTGACAGTGGAAATAAACTAACTGCAACTCCTATCATCTTAATACACTCTAATAATGGCTGGAGAGACCGTAGCTATATAAGCCATGTACTAGAAAAAGTATTTAAAGATCAGCAAGCAAAAGCAAAAAGCTCAATTCAAAAGGCAAAATGAAGGTCAGCATTAGGAGTCTCCTTTCACAGTAGCAGAGGGAATCTCACACTGAGGTAGAAGGGTGGTGCTGGTAGCAGTAGGAAAGGCATATCTCAGTGCGTCTTTCAACACTTTTTCTGAACGTCAGGTCTTTAAATGGTAGCTGTCTGCTTTTCTGACATGGATCAGACAAGCCCAGGCACACCTAGAGACAGACAGCTCTAGAGACACAGGATTCCCATTTGAGAACACATGTAAGTGAATCATTGCTATTTATTATTCACGTGCATCTGTGTACCCTCGGGGTACAGCCCATGTTTAGCCTTTATAAGACCACAGGGCGCCCCACCTAGCACCTTAATTCTATCTCCAAATTCTTATATAGGTATAGTCACATCTCAAGTGGGGAGAGAATGTCTGTCCATCCTGCCAGAGCATTGTCTATCCTGTCACAGACTAAACCCCTAATCTAGTGAGGCTTTACTCTTCAGACCCCACTGACTGCAAAAAAACTATAAAAAAAGTTCATGACCTATCAATTAACATTCTAAACAAAGTGTCATTTACAGTAATTCATACACATCATTCTATCCTGTAATGATGAATAGGGCAATTAGATTGTGATTATTTCGGCAATATCCATGGCTGCAATTACTCCGTGGATTTACTCCCTAACCTAATTGGACAGGAAATTAAATTACATTATAAATTGCACCCTCCCCCCAAGACAAGTAAGTGTGCATTTGTTCAAAATTTACTTTTTTGGTTTGTCTGTTGCGTTTGTTCTCATTGTTCCCATTTGTGTTGCTTAGCCTGCCCAGAGTGGATTTTTTTTTAGTTTCAAGAATAAATAGTTATGGTTTTACTAACAAAAGTGGCTCCAGATCCTTTTGGGTTGTGTGACATCCAAATGAGAAGCATACTTTCTGCAAAGCTTGCAATAAATGGGCATTGCAAGGCAGGAAACAATGTATACCCTGTATTAAAGCTGCTTGTTCCCATTAGCCTTTTCCAAATTCCCTGGATTACATTCAACAGTCTGCTGCTATGTGGATTATACATGACACTCATATATGGCAAAAACTGGCTAACAGCACTGAATGAACCTAGAAAAATACCAGACCAGTGTGTTCAACTGATTATACTATAGAGGAGAAGGCTTTTCTCCAGCCTCACTGAGATTTTGAACATCGTTGGACTCAAGGTATGAAAGTAATTTAAACATGACTTTTTTCTGCTTTAGGATGACTGTTCTCATTTTTGTTTTTCTTGGGCTCAATATTCCAGGTCTGAAGAGGACAACGATTTCTTCAAGGATCAGAAGTTTGGTTTGTCCTGAGAGAATGAAGTGTCAATCTCCGAGAGAACCCATGGGATCTATTAAAATGGATCATTTGATAACAGCAGCAAAGGGATCCTTCAGCTTGAAGCACTGTACAGCCGAAGAACCGTAATCTAGCAGACATAGTAGATGTTTCTGACTGCTAAAGGAAAATAATTTCTTTCCGCCTTCATGATATTATTAAACTCCAAGAGGGAAAAAAATTTAAACCTGGTGTCAATTACAGTAAAAATTTCAGATACATCCATTTGATCTTATTGCCCAGGAAAGGAGTATTCACCAATGCAGTCCTGTGTAGGAGACTCATTTTCCACAGCTAGCCATTCCAAAAGAGGCATATCCATCAGATTGGAGAAGGCCTTAAGATCGTCAGCATCAGTGGTGCCGCCTGACAGCTGACTGAATGTCACGGTAAAGAACACCAAAACGTGCAGTGTCTAACCCCATACCTAAAAGAGGACGTATTGGGGGCGTGGCTAACGGCCGAGCTGAATAGCCGCTTGCTGAAACAGCTCCGGGCAATACAGGCAAAAAAATCTAAATTATTGGAGGTAAATCGCTAACATGGGGAACCCCAAAACATCCCAAAGTTCCCACACAGGCTCAGAGAAGACCCCGGCAAAGAAAACAAGCTCTCTCACTAAACCTTTCACTAAACTCTTCAAAGAGTATGAGGACCACATGCTTCACTGATTGCAACATGGCGCCGGCGGAAACACACGCTGGTTTCAAACCGCCTATCCCAGCCATATCGGACGGCTCTATGGGCTCAACTGACCTGGACATAAAATATACTCTCAGGAACCTAGCATCGAGATCCGATTTAGCCATAATGCTGGGGAAACTGGAGACCTCCTTCCAACACAACTGGACAGCCTCGGTTCCGACATACGCCAGGTAGGCCACCGTGTCCAGGATTTGGAAGATGAAAGGGGGACCACACAGGCGGAAATGTACTTACTTACCACCAAAGTAGAGTCCCACGCAATGTACCTGTCCCAACTCCAACGATCCCTAGATGATGTTGACAATCGGGGATGCAGAAACAACATTAGAATAAGGGGAATAACTGAAGAAGCAAATGAAGACCTACCAAACACCCTTAAGGAACTATGCAACCTCATACTAGGTCGCTCCTCGGATGCTCCCTTACTGTTTGACAGGGCACACTGCTCACTAAGGCTTAAGAATGCAGCGGGAGAAGTTCCCCAAGACATACTATGACGCCTCCACTACTTCTCGGCTAAGGAAAAGGTGCTGAGAGCACTATGGGACACAGACTCCCCACTACTGTTCCACGGGCACAAAATTCAAGTCTACCCATGGCTGACTTTGCAAGCCAGAAGGGCCCTCACGCCCATAACGGATCAACTAAGGGCACGAAATATCAAGTATCGCTGGGGTTTCCCTTTCGCCCTAACTGTCTTAGCTTTGGAACTAAGTATTAGACACATGGACTGGTACCCTCCAAACCCGTCACAACTAAACAACTATCAGCCAAAAACACAAAAATGGCGCACTCCCATGAAGAAAAGAAGAACAGACCCCATGGATGCCCCAGGTCGTGACAAAAGACGACCACCAAGCATGAACATGGAGTGAGTCGGCAGCACATTTGCGCACTGGATCCCTAGATGGATTACTCTTGTTTTCCTTCCACTCCTCTCGGAACTGAAACCCACACTGCACACACGCATTCAAGGACGCATACTATGCTTAATTAATGGCACATAAAACCATTGCAAATGGACCTTCCAAAAGGGAGAGACTGACTGGCAATCCACATCTAAAGGACTGCTTATCACCTAAGGGCCAACGCAGCGTGTACCACCCTGGCGTACAAAGACACATGACTAGGACTCTATATTCACGGACTGCAGAAGGCCTATTCTGGTAACGACGGTGCACTGATATCAGCCAGGTTGCATGTCTCTGAAACTGTTACTCGTAAACTAGTTACACATGTATGAATGCATCTCCTCTCACATCCTACCCTTCTCTAAATATTTCACGACAACCAGAACACACAAATAAACACTCACACCATTAGGCCTGTCTCCCACCCATCATCTGAAGCTCAGCTGAGAGAAATACCAGACAGGAAAAACATTCAAACAATATGTACCTTAGCAATGAACATGAGGGGAAACACACAAAAAACAACAATAAACACATCATCTAGGATCTCAGGGCGGATGGTCTGAGCTAATACTCACCGGCAACACCTACATACTTCCAATATGTTTTCATCACATATGTTTGATTTTGACCTGAAAGCATGTATTACCAACTACACTCAGAAGACAACACAAATCTCCTACGAACACTCACATTTGAAAGTCAGCCTATGAGACACTTTCAATTCACACATCTCACATAAGCCACAGAGACTGACAGACAATATTCCCCACCGAACGTACCCCATTTCACTTTAAGCAGTGCAATAAGTGCTACCTGTATACTCTGAATATCTCCATGACAAACACCAGCATACACTATTCGACCCGGTTCCTACATCAAAACTACAACACTCAAGACCTAAGAACCGCAACACTGTATATAGTTGTAATATTGTTGATAAGACATCTCTATTGTCACTTTATGTTTATGTTTTCATTTTGATTGCATTGTAAATTTTATAGTACTGTTTTTGCATAGACATTTTACCACCTGCAGCACTGGAACACAGTAAAGAGACACAAGTAAACTTCCACCCTTAACCCTACAGGTACACAAGATAGCCTCTCTGTCCCTGATTACACACAATGCGAGGGGATTAAATACCCCTGAATAAAATACATATGGCCCTAACCGACTACCACAAACTTAAGGCAGAGGTTGTCTTTATACAAGAAACACACTTTCACAAAGACTTTGCACCCTCCCTCAGAAACAAAAACTTCCCCAAGGGGTACTTTATCAACTACTCAATGTCAAAATCACGAGGCGTGGCGATTTTGTTTAAATCAAACCTCCCCTATGTATACCAGGACCACAGCGCTGATGACAGCGGTAGATTTCACACGCTCCGAAAAATCTTAAATAACCTGGAACAATTCACTAAAGGACTCCAAATCCTCGAATGAGCTTTTAACATTTCACTACTAGACACGACTTCCGAAGCACAATCATACCACTCCTCCATAAGGAATCATATACAAAAGCTTCTAGACACAGACCAACTGTACGATTGTTGGTGGACTTGCCAACCAATGAGGAGAGACTACTCCTTTTATTCCCACCCATCAGGCTCTTACTCGAGGATTGACATGTTCTTCCTCCCCTACAAATTCCCAAATTTAATCACATCATGCACATACGAGCCAATCACATGGTCTGTCCATGACCATCACAATTCCATCCATACACCCCTCCACCCCAGTGGAAATTGAACAATACTCTACTGAACTACACAGAGGTACAGGCCCAAATTAGATCAGAACTAGACCAATATTTCTCCCTTAACACATACCCAGACTCATCAAACCCGATCATATGGGAAGCCCACAAGAGTACAATAAGAAGCATAATTATTAGAATAGCATCAACACATAAGAGACAGAGGGACGGGGGGTGGAGCCTGGACTGCAAGCAGCTCCTGCTGTAAACGCTGCTTACCCCGGGCTGACAACTCAGAATCTTCTGCTTTAGGTGAAATCCATGCTGGGGGCACCCTACCCTACTCGTGAGCACCTTTATCGACGCTCGGAAGCATTGAGAACCGCACCAAGTTAAGGCCTACTGGAGGCAGAACGGGGAAGAGACGGCCGCTCTCCTCTCGCTGCTTACCCCGGGCTGACAACTCAGAATCTTCTGCTTTAGGTGAAATCCATGCTAGGGGCACCCTACCCTACTCGTGAGCACCTTTATCGACGCTCGGAAGCATTGAGAACCGCACCAAGTTGAGGCCTACTGGAGGCAGAACGGGGAAGAGACGGCCGCTCTCCTCTCGCTGTACCAAGCCACTACACAAGCGACTTTCCTACCCCCCTCTAGACCGGCGGGGGATATCCCGGTCCCCCCCTGGAGAGCAGACAGCTATACTAGAGTTGCTTCATTAGCTCACAGAACAAACCACACAGTGCGGCTCAAAATCCCAAGATGGCGGACGCAGCCTACACAAACGCACGAGGCAAGACGGTAACTACTGGGGCACCGTTATTATGCTTTTCTTATGTTTTGCTTTCCTTTCAGCCACCTCTCCATACACTACCTAATATCACAGCAGTACACACTTCTGCCGACACTGCACCCAGGTGCGCACTAACAACAATCTTACAAGCATGTTTACCTAACGTACATTTTGTTCCCTCTCCATGTCTGCATGGTTACATAGGTTGTCAAAATATGAGGCACATACCTGGCTCCTTTCACTGTAATAGCCAACATTGTGACTCTCCTCAGTGTATCCTCAATGTCAGACATGATTGATTAGCTTGAGGTTTATCTTGTTCTTAATATTTAAAAAAAAGTGCAAGTCTTTGCTAATTACCCCAAATGTCACATGTGATGCTCTACTATGCCGTTGGGGTACCTCTAGCCTGTTTGTACTCAATCTATGCACTGCAAAAAAAAAAGAGAGACAGAGACAGAGGGACAAAAAGGCTACCCAACTCATACACGATATTAGGACCCTGGAAACAGCCCACAAATTGGACTTGAACTTAGCAACCTACAAAACATTGGTAGAAAAGAGGACCGAACTAAACATACTCCTGAATATGCAAACCAAACGCAAACTTGCTCTCACCAAAAGCCTATACTACACCCAAGGGGGGAAAAGCGGCCACTTACTAGCACATGCCCTCAGAAAACAAAGGGAAAACACCTTTATTTCCTCCATTAAAATAAGGAAGGCACCAAATCCCAATTAATGACAGTTATCAGATATCAGACTTTCACGACTTCTACTCAGCACTTTACAATTTAAGAACTATCCCCTGACCCCCCTCACACAGAGGAACAAGACTTCCTCACGCACAGAATTAAGTCCACAATACCAAGAAACATACAACACTCACTAGAACATCCCATAACAAGCAAGGAATTCCACGTAGTAACAAAAAAGCCTAGGCCCAGATGACCTCACAGCCAAATACTATAAATTATTCACTTCTTCGCTGTCCACACACTTTCTTAACTCCTTCAATTCCCTCCTCAAAATACCGGCCCTCCCGCCACAAGCACTAAACGCCACAATAACTCTACTACCCAAACCTGAAAAAGACCCAACCCTCCGTGGAAGCTACAGGCCCATTTCTCTTATCAACGTAGACCTCAAACTATTAAACAAAAATATTAAACTTGATCCACTTCTCAAAACTCACCGGGGGTTCACGTCTACTCCTGTCAATATACGCTGAAAAGGCGTTTGACAGGGTAAACTGGACCCTCATGATGGCAACTCTGCAACACATGGGCTTTGGCCTAAATTGGCTACAGTGACTAAGGGCATTATACTCTACACCTACAGCGAGAATACGAATTAATGGCCAACTGTCAAATCCAGTGGCTATCTGAAATGGTACAAGGCAGGGATGCCCTCTTTCCCCCCTCCTATTTGTCCTGGTCCTGGAACCCTTCCTCCAGGGCATTAGAGACAACCCCCAAGGAAGTCAAGGAGTCCGAGCAGGAGGCACAGAACACAAAATCTCTACCTTTGCGGACGATATGTTGTTCACAGTCTCAGATTCCATCCACACACTACCCCATCTCATACAAGAAATTACACTATACAGTAGAATCTCAAACTTCCAGGCAAATCTTAGCAAGTGTGAAATTCTCCCACTCACCATACCTCGAGAAACAGAATTATTACTTCAAAGAACCTATACCTTTACATGGGTAGATGCATCTATAAAGTACCTGGGGGTCCAAATCCACAAAGTACTGACACAAGTGTATGACAGTAATTTTCCCTAATTAATCTAATCCATTTTCGAAAGATTTACCTTCATGGAATATGCCACACTTTGGATGGTTCTGCCGATTGAACACCCTGAATATGAATGTCTTACCTCGACTCCTTTACATGTTACAAGTGTTGCCCATTTCACTACCCAAACTCCTATTCACTACCATACGCAAAACATTCACAACCTTCATATGGGCCCATAAACACCCCAGACTATCCAATTCTTTACTCACAAGACCGAAAGAGGAAGGCGGACTGGGCCTCCTCGACTTAGAAACCTACCACAAAACCACTCTACTGACCAGAGTATATGACTTGTCGGAGCACAGCTCAACCAAACAGTGGGTACACCTGGAAGGCTCATTCTTCAGGGTCCCAATATACACAATTCCATGGCATGAATCTGGGCAAGCTCTCCTGAACCATCAGGCACACCCAACCATAACCCTGAGAATGTGGGCCCATGTGAGAAACCACCAACAGATATTACCATACCCGTCACCTCTCTACCCAATTACACACAACCCTTTATTCAAACCAGGGGAAGACGGAAAGACGTACAGAGATTACCACACAACCCCCTACCTGACTTTAGGAACTCTGATAGATGACTCTCGGGTAAAACCATTGCACTCCCTCCGCCCCTACTGCACTTCATAAGGACAGGACCCTTGGCAAATTAATTTCCCTAATGTACACCCTGCTCTTATCCACCCAACCCAAACACCTCCTGGTCTATACTCCAAGCTGGGAAAAAGAACTGAACATTTCCCTAACACCAGAACAATGGCCTAAAATATTCAAGCTCATTCACAACACTCAAAACATAGTGGCCCAAAAGAGTAACTGAAAAAGAATTATTAGGTGGCACTACACCCCGCAAAACTCCTCTCCTTGTCCCCACACTCACCCAACAAATGCTGGAGATGCCAACAACCGAACGGCAACTCAGCACACATCTGGTGGACTCCTACATCTAATAACAGCAGAAAACCAACTAATCCCAATGTTCTGGAAAAAGCCAAACCCCCCATCAATAAGAGACTGGATCCAGAAAGTAGAAACCACTAGAAACTTAGAGGAAACATGTTACTCCATGTCTAAATAATACCACCAATACACCTCCACGTGGGGCCCTTGGTGCAGGTACCTTAAAAATAACACAATGTAACTCTCCCTCAACCATCCAAAATTACCCCTAACAACACAAAGTTCCACTAGAAGAAACTTAGTATAGAGGAAAAGTTGACTCAGACAAAGTCAAAGTGCCCCAACTAGCCTACAAGGGTGGGGAACACATTTTCTTAGGCCAGGATATCATTGTAAACGGTAATGGTTACTTAGACGCCTAACACCACAGAATCAACCGAAAATTCAGGATGCCCTTGGCCAAAAACCTAAACCGAAAATTACTTATTTTATCCAATTGATTTTAAAATGCTAAGTATTCTAACAAGATTGATTTACAGTGAGTCCTGCTTGGGCTGATGTTAGCCAATCCATCCACCCAGCCAGAGAGCTGTGCCCCACATAGGACTGTTCCCGCAATCCACCCATAGGACTGTGCTCCCCATCCAGCCAGAGAGCTGTGTCCGCCATCGGACTGTGCCCCCCATCCACATGTGCCCCCCATCCAGCCAGAGAGCTGTTCCCCCCATCCACATGTGCCCTCATAGGATTGAGCTCCCCATCCAGCCAGAGAGCTGTGCCCCCCATAGACATGTGCCCACCATCCACCTACAGACATGGGCCCCCCCACAGGACTGTGCTCCCCATCCAGTTGTGCCTGGGGCTGTCAGTGGCTCTCAGTCAATGCATGCTAGGTTAACCCTGTCTAGCCCAGAGGCAGATCTTACCGTTCTTGGTGTCTGCACACCGTCCGTTTACAGAACTTGCTCACGGCCCCGTTCTCCTGCTCGTCCCCGTTTCGGTTATTCTACCCTTGCTGTTCTTCACGTTTGGAATGGCGGGCGGGATCCTCGCTGCGGACGGGAACCTCACTTGGTGCAATCAGGTGCTCAGTCCGGTGGCCTCACACACAAGCTCAGCACACACAGGGCGGCCCGCGGGTCCTTGCCAGGGTAGAAGGCGTGTCTCGTTGTTTTGATTCCGATGAAAGCAGCCGCGGACTAGATCACTCATTACACCAATCTCCACGTGCACCAAGAAAGACTGCAGGACAGCACGTGTAATTTTCTGCAGATCTGACCAATTTTCAGCCAAAATAAGACAGGGCCATTTTCCATAAGATAGGCCCATTTGCATCCCTAACTTACAGTGCTGTATTATGTCAAATGTACTATCTTCAAAGCATGTAATACCTTCTTTTGATAACGAATAAAACAAACATAAATAAAAATAAAGAGTACGTATTACCAAACCATAGAATGGTCAGGCTTAACATGGTAGAGAAATAGAGTAGTCAGATGATGGCCAAAAATCTAAGTACGCCAGAAATTGGGAGAGTGATTAAGGAATAGCCGAGTCAGAATACCAGAGAGCAGGAAAGTTAAAGTACAAGCAGAGTCAAAAAACAGATAAGCGATACAGACAAAGGAAGCACTATAGGGAACAAGCCTTGAACCACAAAAGGGTACTGTACAAGGCAAAAGATGTATATTTATATGGGAGTGTCTTTTGCTTTAAGGCCACACCCCAAAACGGTCTGAAGTGTTGAAAATAGCGCAAAATCGCATCATCTGCATTATGCCATTGATGTGCATGCGTCACGTCATAAAAAGGGTGTGTGATCGTAGTGTCAAACATCACCACGTGGTTGCCCGGGAGTGAGGTAAGATATTGTGGCACTGAGACAGTTGCACATGGCTGGAGCTAAGCAAACTACAAAATAAGTCTATTACGCAACAACAAAAAATGCTCTCTTATCTTCAATAAACGAGTTCTATCTCCTGTGGCACACTCCACAGAGGATTTGACCTCCATTGACCATTCCAGATGGGCACTGCCTGCGCTAGACTGTTGACATATCCCTTGCAGGCTGAGTAGGTTGCAGTCCACTTATACAGCAATATTCCCTATATCTGCTCTAATTGCTTTATATGATTTCTTACTCTGTGGTGCATGTGTACTGCACAGCGTCTACTTTACTGCTTGGCACTAGACTCTCACTATACCATCACAGCAAATTATGCTTATATCATTCATGTTTGGTCTAGAGTTAGCCTTTTAGACCATTCAACTAACCCATGCAAAATCCCTCACTGCTATATTGGCATACATGGTTCAAGAGTCTAATCTATCTCAGCATTATCTACTCGGCACACTCTAAGTTAAGTCACTCATGTGATTACATGCTGGTACTTTCTAAACTGTCAAGCTATTGAACCAAGTAATTTGTTTTTTAAACTTGTGTTATACTGCTATTTTCTTCTTTCTCCTTATACTATTCTTGTAAGCACCAATATAAATGTGTTGCACTGCTGATAACACTTGACTATTTTGCTTAATATATGGTGATGTATACTCTGTCAGTGAACAATGCAAAAATAAAGATTTACAAAAAAAAAATTAAAAAAAAATAATGGTCAGCAATCACAGGTTGTGATGGGTGGGGCATTTACAGGTTGTGATGGCTGCCCAGTGTGCAGCACTGACATTCAGTGTCTCTAACCTCTGGCTGGAGACACTGAACTTTCGTCATAGAGATGCATTGATTCAATGCAGTTCTATGAGGAGAGGCTGTTTGGCCAGGGTGACATCCCTGATTTACCTCCTTGGCTGAAATCATCAGAATTAACAATCTCAGCCAATTCAGGGTGATTGGCTGAGATTATCACTTCTGATTATGTCAGCCAATGAGGCAGATCAGAGGCAGAGCCAGCACTAGCAGACTGCAATAAAGGTAAGATGTTACTATATTTAGGAGAGTAAAGGGGGGCGCCAGGGAGGCTAGATAGTGTTTTAAACAGAATAGGGTCAGGAATACATGTTATAGTGTTCCTTTAAGTACACAGTGGAAATGAGAAAGTTAACTAGACTTTTGTTTTGCTATTCATAGACCAGACTAAGGAAGTCATTTAACTACCTGTCTAATTGGGTTAGAAAGGCAATAAGCCAATAGTAGGTGCTGCTATAACCTATTACCGGGAAAAAAAATTTCTCATTTGTGCAGTGTTCATTTTATATGTGGTTTTGTAAAGTAAATTTAAAATATATATATCTTAGCATCTCACAACAAACTTATTGTACTTGCTATTCCTGCAATTATGTATTTGGTAATTGGTACTTTAAAATTCTTTATTATTATTTATTTTACATTAGATGCTTTGCTGGCCACACTTGGCGAACAATGCAAATTCTTTAAGTGCAAACTGAGCTCCCAATACAACATGCCAAGGTTCAAACTTAAGATTAATGTAAATGCCAGTAATTATCCTTCTTAATAACAAAAATACTTTTTTTACTTACCTCCATTGCTAAATTTTGCAATAGCATTTACTGGGACGAAGAAACAAAGAACTATCGCTTCTCGGAAACTAACAGTTCTCTTTTCAGGGCATAACACATTTTTATAGAAAATATATGTATGAATTCTCAGTCATGGCAAAGAGGTGTGTTAAGATTGCTGTTAGATGTTATTACACTCATTAAAGAGCAAGAGATAAAAAAGAGACAGAGAATTGCAAGACACCATAAATTAATAAACAATGATATATAACTGATTATCCTAAACAAAATTAATAATACTATTTTTTTCAAATGATATAAACCTGTCGTTACCACCAAGTTGTATTAATGTGGGCACAGACGGCTATTTCATGGCTAACTCCACCTAGCCTGACATTAGAAAACCAGGCCAAGCTGGTAAATTGCCACTCCACTACTACATTCAATGTACAATGCTAAACCATGGGGCTGCATATGATAGAGCCTGGACCTAGGTTATACCATGTAAATCTCCTGCTTCTTTTGAGCCAGTTCAAGCCTTTCTATGCCACTACAGCATTTTTCTCAATCTGATTTTATTCAAGTTATTACAAGCTATATTATCCACTAATGACTGTTTCCCTATGTTTATATACTGGGATGTATCCATAATCCTGGCTATAAAACATCCTTGCACAAGCCATTTACAGTATATTAATGACTGCAAGTGATGCACACAGTAATCTAAAATAATTAAGTTATTCTAATTAACATGGTTATTTGTTATAGTGCCAGTCATGTAACTATGTGTGTTTTTATAATATTATTTTTTCTTGATTGTTTTAATATAATTAGCTTACAAGACTTATTTTTTCAATGTGATTTGAACAGACCCTTCATACAGCATGCAGACATACCTTTAAAATATTTTTAAATAACCCTGTAGGATGCTTTCTCCATACATATTGTTAGAGATACACAAAATAAATCTTCATTTAGTTTAGTTAGTAAATGCAATATAAAGAGTTAGAACACTAAAAGGTAGGTAGATTCTAAAGAGACCTACCCGAGTCATAGGAGCACATTACAGAAGTCCCTAGAACCTCCAGATCGCCATTTTCTCCAGGATGCTAGAATTCCACCAGTTACAGATACACATCTTGCAAAGTGAGCACGTGGAGGGCGGTGTGACTGTGCTGTAATGGAGGGAAATGGAACTTGAGTGTAAGAGAGGGTAATATGGTCATGCGTGTAGAGAAGTGTGAATTAAGCTTACAGGGAAGCATATGTGAATAGTGTAATGGAGGGAATGCGGACTGGGGCCGTAATGGGGAATGTGACTGGGGCTGTAATGGGTGGATGTGACTGGGGCTGTAATGGGAGTGGAATGTGACTGGGGCTGTAATGGAGGAATGTGACTGGGGCTGTAGTGGAAGGAATGTTACTGGGGCTGTAATGGGGACTGTGACTGGGGCTGTATTAGAGGGAATGGACTGGGGCTGCATGGGGAATGTGGACTGGGGCTGCAATGGAGGGAATGTGACTGGGGCTGTAATGGGGAATGTGACTGGGGCTGTAATAGAGGTAATGTAATCGGGGCTGTACTTGGAGGAATGTGACTGGGGCTGTAATGGGGGAATGTGACGGGCTGTAATGGGGGAATGTGACTGGGGCTGTAATGGAGGGAATGTGACTGGGGCTGTAATGGGGGAATGTGACTGGGGCTGTAATGGAGGGAATGTGACTGGGGCTGTAATGGGGGAATGTGACTGGGGCTGTAATGGAGGGAATGTGACAGGGGATGTAATGGAGGAGTGTGACCGGGGCTGTAATGGAGGGAATGTGACAGGGGCTGTAATGGGGGAATGTGACTGGGGCTGTAATGGAGGGAATGTGACTGGGGCTGTAATGGGGGAATGTGACTGGGGCTGTAATGGAGGGAATGTGACAGGGGATGTAATGGAGGAGTGTGACCGGGGCTGTAATGGAGGGAATGTGACAGGGGCTGTAATGGAGGAGTGTGACCGGGGATTTAAATGGAGGGAATGTGACAGTGGCTGTAATGGAGGAGTGT